TACAATTCTTTATATACTGGCTGTTTATTTTGAATGTATTCATAAATCATTCATTTTTATTATATTTGTCTCATTTTCAGAGAAGCAGTACAACAACAATAGAAATCAATTATTTCCGTCGAGACAGGTATACAACTATGGGATACAAGACGATCACGAGCCATTCCTCAAGAAAGGGGTACCTATTCTTCATCTCATAACATCCCCATTCCCTCCGGTTTGGCACCAGGAAGACGATGACATCGACCATCTCGACTTTCACTCAATTAATATATTTGAAAATATTTTTTACGACTTTTTCAAATCTGTATTAAATTTATGATAAAAATATTATCTAGTATATGTTTTAAATACAAAAAGTGAGTTTCAATATTTTAATAAAAGTCAAACATTGTGTATTCTAGAATTCTGTATCTAAATGTTAACGTTTTGATGGTCTCAACCCCCCTCTCCTGTTGTCAATCACTCCTACAGTACATTGTATACCGTATTCTGTGATCAGATAATCCGATTCAGATTCTCTCAAAATATGAGCTATTCTATAGGTATCTCTAACTAACTCACAGGTAATCCGAGGCTATAGTTTATAATTATCGTTAATATATAAAATAAATAAATTTTTAATATAAAAATCAAACAAAATTTGGTCAAATATTCAACACTAAATTGATCAGTAAATGTGAAGTTCATTGACTTAATTATTTATAACATCTCTATTCCTCTCCCAATTATTTTACTTTCAAATTTAAAGTTTAAATTATTCAAATCGATTAAATTTTTATAAAATGATTTGTATGGCAATTATTATAATGTGCATAAGTATTGAATCTAAAACATTAGCGTTAACTAAATCTCGAGTATTAGTGGAACAGAAATATATACATAACATCACGAATGAATCAAATAGGACTTCAAGAAGTTCGTAATCTCCATATCATTCAATTGTTTTATCACTTAATAATGACAAACATTAACTTTATTTGAATAAATAGTTTATTTTCCAATTTTCCAAATGATTGAGTTTCCCAATGAGGGCTGTCTTACAGTGGATGGACTGATGGGCACCTGTTATGCGAAGACTGAATGCGATCTTTTCAAAGGAATCACACGAGGATTCTGTGCCCGAGGTTTCGGGGTTTGCTGTTTCTGTGAGTCTATTATCTGTTTCATAAAATTCATGTCTAATTCGTGTAATGTATGTCCAAACGTATAGTTGGTGTGTCGTGTGGAGGTGTGGCCACCAATAATCGGACGCATTTCCTTAATCCCAAATTTCCGCACACTTTTAACGGTGAGATGCGCTGCGAGATTGCCATCAAACTGCCCGAAGATATCTGTCAACTGAGGCTCCAATTCGTTCAGCTCTTGCTGTCCAACCCGTGGCGCTCGCAGTGTATTATCGATGCGCTCACTATTCCGTACTCATCGAAGGTGCCGGTGCTCTGCGGAAACCTAACCGATCAGCACAGTATGCATTCAATTATAACTACTATAGTATAACCCATCACAAAATCAATTGTTTTTATGTGTTGTCAGTCTATTTGGACGCCAAAGGCGTCAAAGAGATCCTAATAATCATAACCACAACCGGCAAAGAGTGGCAGAGGTATTGGAATATTGAGATTCAGTTCATTCAATGCGATCTTCTAGTCAAAGGTGTGACCACTCATTGAATATCATATCATATAATTGTAATCAATTATATCTGAATGCCATTCAGCGCCCAATGGTTGCCTCCAATACTATACGGGAATCCATGGTTTGGTGAAGACATTCAACTTTGATTGCTTCCGACGGGTGGCCGAAGACGGACGCAAGGAGTGTCTGATCGCTAATCTCGAGTACAATATCTGCATCCGAATGGAGAGCCAGATGTGCGCCATTGAGTGGACACCCAATTACTTCGATATGGGACCGGAAGGGGTGATGGCCTCACAGAGGGGCGACTGTAATTATAATAATCTTAAACCACATCCCATTGTCTAACAAATTGTCTCACAGTTTGTCAACAGAATTACATAACCATAGAAAACGCCAAAATCGTCACAAAAGACATCGAAATGCAAAACATTAAGAGTTTCGATAGATTTTGCGGAAAAGCTCT